ACAGAACATGCATGTAAACTTTTTAAGTCCTCTTCCAACTCGATTTAGAATATGCAAGTAACACAAATATCAGTTTGATTTTTTTGGGTCATAGTACATCAAATTAAGTTAATGAAACTTGATGAACATGCAAGTAAACTTTTTAAGTCCTCTTCATACTCGATTTATAATATGCAAGTAAAATTTTGTGATTCTGATCGTTTTGGTTTCTGGGCTGATTGATCTATCCAAGGGTTTGAGGTTGGTCTCAAAATAACTTGATCGTATGCTGTACACATTACATTATTCACTTTGTCAAGATGACAGTAGAATATCTGTGTATTGTATGATCTTGGACCCAACCAACCTTTCAGCTGTTGAAATTGGCTATTAGATCCTGACCATCTTTATCTTTATTAGCAACTTAGAATCAACATTTGTTTTCAATGTTTCCTCTCTCTTTATATGATATCACCACATCAAGGTGATTTGGTATCCATTACCACTTGAACAACTTAAAAGACAAAGTTGAATGTAGAATCAAGGGCATGCTTCTCACTGAAACTAATTACTGTTATGTTATACTTGCAGGTAAAGTTGGAGGCTTTCTAGCATCCATTCCCCAAGTCATGGTTGCCGCACTGCTGTGCTTTATGTGGGCGATGCTTGCTGCATTGGGCTTGTCCAATCTACGTTATAGTGAAGCTGGAAGCTCTCGGAATATTATCATAGTTGGCTTATCTTTGTTTTTCTCGCTTTCAATACCGGCCTACTTTCAGCAATATGGCATCTCCCCAAACTCCAACTTATCTGTTCCAAGTTATTTTCAACCATACATTGTAGCTTCTCATGGGCCGTTCCGCAGCAAATATGGAGGGGTATGCTTCCACTTGACCTTCTGCGATAAGAAACATTTGTTCTGCATGTATTTGCTTTTCCCTGTTGAATGGTAGAAACGAACAATATTGGTCAACTGACCCACTCTTTATTTTACGATTTTTGAATACTAGAGGAAACAAAGGAAAACTAGATAAAATAACTGGCATAGTTTAAGAGATTGCGAACAATAGTATAGAAATCAGCTGCCTTTCTTTATTTGTTCTACTGTTTTTTTGGTCTGATATTTGTTCTACTGTTCAAATTGTGTTCGTACTAAGGGAAGACCCTACAAAAATAGGAAAAATCAAACAATTTAAGCCACTAATATCCCAAAACAATTTGAAGGCATGCTTACATATCAGTGTCACGTACCATTTCACATGCTGGACCTTTATGCGTAATTGATTTTGCAAACCAATAAACTGTAATTAAGATTCTCTTTGTAGGTGAACTATGTGCTGAACACATTGCTATCGTTACACATGGTGGTTGCATTCCTTGTGGCTGTCATCCTGGACAACACCGTACCTGGCAGTCGTCAAGAACGTGGAGTGTATGTGTGGTCTGAACCTGAGGTTGCAAAGAGGGAGCCCGCTGTAGCCAAGGATTATGGGCTGCCCTTCAGAATTAGCCGGGTTTTCAGATGGGTGAAATGGGTTGGACTTTGATAGAATTTTTGGTTGGTGTGAGTGTTAATCAGATATTCAAGCTTTTCAGAAACCATTTTCAGGGGGATTATTGTAGTGTTACCGTGATTCTAAAGGTAAGTTCGGGGCATATATTCTTAATTATTGGTCTGGAAACTGTTTTTTCCTACACGAAGGGACTTGCGACTTCTTAGGTTTATAGGTCTTATAGAGATATTTTGTGTACATTTGAGGAACCAGAAGATCTGGTTGTGTTGTAATCTTAGATTAATGTATCTAGTGTTGAGTCATTGGGACCTTTTTCATGCGGTCAAGTGATCTTCATGTATATGCTTTTTTCTTTTGTTTTCTTTCCATGATCAGCTTAGACCTCAACTTTCACGAATGTTGGATTCTCAATGGAAAAAGAAAAAGAAAGGTATTCACACCGAGTGAGTGAGATCTGCAATGTGGAATGTTGTATTTTCTTTTATTTAGTATTTAGATAATCCCTAAATATCATGATTGTGAGATTTATTTTATCCTTTCTTTTTAGTAGTGAACTATTTGTGCATATTCGGATCTATTTGTCTTGAATTTATATGCAACGTTTGAATTTTGTATGCATGCATGCCTTTCAATGATGAAATCTGGATGAGATGAGTTGTATATCTAGCTTTCTTGAATACAAGCAATAGTATAAACTACAAGGGGTAGGGGTGTTTCTCTTGCATAGACACTACTAAGATGTCATAGGAGTTCAAACTAGAAATCACTTATCTACAATTCGAAGTCTTTTTTCACTAAGCTAGATCCCATTGGCATTGTATTATCTAGCTTTTGGTTGAAAGCTTGGAAGTTCTTATGTAGCATAGATCGGCTAAAGTGTCTCAGAGCCCAGAAAGGTCAATTGACTTTGAAAACCCTTAGCAGAATAATATTTTAATGTAGAGGACTATGAAGAATGGGTTCTTATAAACCTGGAAATAAGTTGAAAAATAGGAATACCAGTGGGATTCCTTAGATGGTTTTTGAATAAAGGAGTTATTTGAAGGATACAATCGAGCCAGAAAATAAAACAATTAACCAAATAAAGAAATAGAAGTCAAATAAATAATAAAGACTCGATGAGTGGTGACTTAGATAATTGACAGGAATTAAACGAAGAGCCTTCAAGTCCAATTTGAAACTCTAACTCAAATTCAAATTTTGAGTTGGAAAAAAAAACTAAAAATCAACTCCTAAATTAATTTAATCATCCCCTCTTTATTATTATTATTTTTTTCAAAGAAACTTAATTGCGACAACTTCTCAGTATTTTCATACGAAGGAACACGAAACCAATTCCCAACGTTACATAAAGATTTTGAATTTGAGAAAAACACAAAAATATCAGAAGTTTTTTAGGAAACCAAACTCGAATAATTAATTACCTATTTTAGTTACCTTACTTATAAATCCATTCTCATTAAATTGTTTCCAATTATGAATTAATATAATATTATATAGATAATTGTTTCCAATTGAATATTAATGTAGGAAGGCGTGTTGACTTGGGAGACAATCCAAAGAAAAGGAAACCAGCATTGACAGGGCACTTAAGAATTTGTATGCGTATATAAGCAATCACACGCTCTTTTTTTTGTGTGCTCACAACCTCTCTATCTTATTTCCCCAATTTATAATGGGGAAAAGGAAGATAGACATCAAGAAAATAAACAACAAGAACTACCTAAAGGCCACTTTCTCAAAGCGGCGTAAGGGACTCTTTCGCAAAGCCACTGACCTTTGCTGCTTGTCTGGTGCCCAGATTGCGATTATCACCTTTTCACCCGGTAACAAGCCCTTCATCTTTGGACACCCCTCCGCGGAAACAGTCATCGATCGATTTCTTGGCGAACAAGCTTCATGTACAGCGGATGATGATGATGATGAGGGCATTGGACCCGTTGATGGTGAGGATGGTCATGAAGATTTGGAAGCCAGTCATGATGAAGAGGATATTGGATCCGTTGATGCTGAGGATAGCCATGAAGATTCAGAAGCCCATCAAGAAGAAGAGAAAGAAGATGAGGCTGGTGGTGATGGAGAAAAGGTCAGTGCATGGTGGGATGAGCCTATTGATGAAAATTTAGGACTACATGAACTTAAGAAGTACAAGGGTTTGCTAGAATGTTTGAAAGAGAATGTGGCTAGTAAATTAGATGAGATGAATAAAAGAGAATTTTACACCAAGGATTATTTGGCTATGCTTAATTCAGAGATCGGTTCTACTTCTACTACTTGCCAATAAAGAGATCTATGCGATTAGTTTTGTTGGTTTTTGTTTTTGTTAGAAAACTCTAATTCATCAACCCTTTGTTGTTGAACAGAGAATTTTGTGTTATTACTCTTGAATTGAAGCCTTTGATTTCATTAAATTGTTAGGATTCTGATAGTCCTAGTCCTTTTGTTGTTGAAGAAATTACAAGTAACCAATTCCGAAACAAATTAATGAAGTTGTAGATCTCTCTAAGTACTGTGGAATCGATATCGATCGGGATATTACATGCTTGATTTGGTTAAGAAAGGAGAAAATTTTGTAAGGCAAAAGTTAAAGAAACTCTCTGAATGTAGGCATGCGGCGACAGACACTTTGTTGGTTTGCAGTTGTAGGTCATACTTCCATCTTTCCACAAGATCTGAATCGCTCATAACGGATAATAAGTTAGACTTTTTAGGTTATGGAAATTCTGATTTCGAAAAGTTTCAAACTGTTGAGCCAATTTTAACCTTTCAAAATTTTGAACTACTTTCCGAAATTTTTCAAAGAAATTCTGAAAATATTGGCCTCAAGTAAGTTCCGAAATTTTCCGAAAATTCCAAGTTGAATGTTTGAAATTCCGAAATTTTTTGGAACAGAATTGGAAGATTTGAATTGGAATTGGAAACCCCTTATTCAGATCCAATTCGTTCAAATATCAAGCCTAGACCCTAACCCAGGAACACATGGTGTTTGAGAAGTCTCAAGAATAATTTTTTGAGACGTCTGAAGAAAAGTGACATTGATAACCTAGGGTTGGAGTTTATATAATTAGGAGATACCTAGTCCTTGTAGGAGTAGAATTCTTTTATTAGAGTTTGGAGTCAAAATTATTATGGGCCCAAACTAGGGAGGTTTCCAGCGTATCACTACCGCAGTATTGGGCTGTAAACAAAAAAAAAGTCAAGGATTAACTATAGCGTTGAATCTATTTCCGTAATGTAACAAGACCTTCTTTCATAATAAAAGGAAAAAAAATTTCAAAAATAAAGTGTTTCCAATTATCGCACAAAGGGAACCCAGCATTGATAGGAAAAGGGAACCCAGCATTGTTAGGAAGCCTAGTCATCTTTACATATATATAGCATGCAGTTTTTTCTTTGGTGCACTCACAAACTTTCTACTCATCAATCCTGTAAATAAACAAGGTACTATTTACTACGGATCAAGAACAAGAAATCCACACCCGTACATATATATCCAAAAAAAAAATCATGGGAAGACATAAGATCGACATCAGGAAAATAAACAACAAGAACTACCTCAAGGCCACCTTCTCAAAGCGGCGCAAGGGTCTCTTCCGCAAAGCCACTGATCTGTGCTGCTTGTCGGGTGCGCAGATTGCGATTATCACCTTTTCACCTGGTAACAAGCCCTTCCTCTTTGGAAACCCCTCTGCCGAAGCTGTCCTAGATCGATTTCTTGGTGAACAAGCTTCATGTACATCTGATGATGATGAGGAGGAGGGCCTTGGATCCACTCCTGAAGACAGTGATCATGAAGATTTAGAAGCATCGCACGAAGAGAGTAGTGAAATTGAGGATGTTATGTATGAGGACAGAGTCAATTTTTGGTGGGATGAGCCTATTGATGATGAATTGGGTATATATGAACTTCAAAAATATAAGGGTTTGCTAGAAGCTTTGAAAGAGAATGTGGCTAGTAAGTTAGATGATATGAATTGGAGAGAATTTTCCACCAAGGATTTTTTGAGTATGTTTTGTAATTCATAGATTGGTTCTACTACTTGCGAAGAAGATCTATGCCATACTTTTTCTGGCTTCTTCTTGAAGCCATAGGTTTCACTTTCGCCTTTCAGCCAATAATATTTTTTCTTTCATAATCAAATTAGAAGACTTTCTCTCATTTAAGTTGTTAGAATTTTGAACATACCAAACACTCCGTGGACTTAACCCAATTGTGGGTGAAACACGTAAATCTCAAGTGTCGTTTGATTGCATGTTTTTGCTAAATCATTATTTAAAAGTTGCAATCCCTAAGCACTGGAACTCCTTCTAAGGGACGACCTGCTTGGTCATGCCAAGTTGGTTTGGAATGAATGTCAACATTGATTTCGAAGCGGTAATCTTATTGTTTAACCAAATTTAGGCATCAACACATGACATTTTGGATGGAGGAGAGATAACAAGTTGAGATAACGACCATAAATATAATTAATAATTTTAATTAAAAAAAGTACAACAATAAAGTTGGCCCATCCCGTCTAGGCCCGACCCACTAAACCAAAAAAGAAATGTGTTCTTTATAAAAGATAACATATGTTGAGGATGGAGGAGAGAGAATAAGTTGGGGGACTGATTTTAGTACAACTGTTTGACTTAAAACTGCTTATCTTTGAGCAATTAGTTCTTAGCAATAAGTTCATTTTAGGATGATATATTAGACAATTACCCATATAGAGTCTATTTAGAGGGAAAAAAACCCAAAACTAGCCACTTGTCATTTTCTAATTAATTTTAGAAGTTTTTTAACACACTATGAACCAATTAGAAAATGACAAGTGGCTAGTTTTGGAGTCTTCACTCCAAATAGGCTCTATATAGGTAATTGTATAATATGTCATGCTAAAATAGATCTACTAATGATAAGCCCTTATATTAAATTCAACAGTGTCCTCATATAAGGTTCACAAATTGAGGTTCTCACTGAACTGCCCTTCTTGAAAGGGGTATGAAGTACCAAAAGAGCTAAGTAGGCCTTTGGGCATTGCAGGCCACTCACTAACTACATACCCAAAGAAGGCCTTGAACAAGTCAAATGAAATATACAAGAATTCTATAGTGAGGGCCTTATCTAAGGTCTTTAGATGATGCCCTATCTCTTAACCTTTGATCTAATAATTAAGAGATTTTCATCTGGTATTGGAAGTGGAGGAATGATTTTATCTTTAATAATGCAGCAGACTTACCTTTTAATTCCCATGAATTGATCATTAATGCGGCTAGAGATTGGGTTAAGGCTACTACTAATATTCATCCTGGAGTTGGTAAAATTCAGATTATGTTAGCTTGGACTCCTCCAGATATTGGGGTTCTCAAGCTAAACGTGGATGGGTCACGTAAAGGCAGCACTGGAAGCATTGGTGCTGGAGGGGTTATCAGAGATCATGCGGGTCATTGGATTGCTGGCTATTCTGCCAACTTGGGGCAGGGGCAAATTCTTGAAGCTGAGTTATGGGGCTCATTCTTTGGCTTGAAATTAGCTGTCGAAAAACATTTAAATGATGTTGTTGTTGAGATGGACTCAACTACTGCTGTGATGCTTGCTTATGCATAATACTGAGATGGACAGTTGTCATCATACTGGTGGTTTGGTTACCAACTGCAAGGAGCTAATGAATCAAATTGGAAGGATTAGGCTTAATCATATTTATAGGGAGAGGAACTATGTCGCCGATCGTTTGGCTGATTGGAGTCACAATATGGACCTGAGTTACTGGTTTTTTGATGATAGTCCTAAATGGCTGGGACCTCTGTTGCTTGATGACTCGTCGGGGGCTACTACAGCCCGCTTGATAAATATAATATAGCCTTTGTGTTTTTTTAACTTTTTGGGGTTTTTGACCCCCTTATTTCATCCAAAAAGATATAGGACCTCATCTAAGGGCCTGGCCCTCATTATAAAATGACTCAAGAAATATAAGCCAAATAAATATAGTGGGCTTTGTTACTATGCCCAAACTCTTTTTACTTTTTATTTGGAAAAATATGCTCTAGGTCCTTTGTTTCTTTTTTGTTCTAATTATTTCATTACCCTTTTACACTAACACAAATGTTAAACAACTTGTTTCTTTTGTCTAGGTACTATCATTCACTGTTTTAAGTTTTAAATTATTGTGTGTATTTTTTAATCATTATCTAGGCAGTGGGAAGGGAAGTATTTATATTGGTTGTCTCAAAATTGTCTCATACATGAATCGAATCCGGGTGCACTTGAAAGGAGGGGGAGAATTTGGCCCATTTTGTAGCTGTGGTGCCATTCCACGGGCAAATTATTATGTTCATGCCTTGTATTGAGCCACACAAACTCAACAATAAACGGTCAACTTATGAACTAACAAGTTAATGTATGCAGCTTAATTTTGTCGTTGACCATTAAATCCTAAACCATAGGACATGTAAACGATCCTTTTAGTGATTATTGTAGAGCTTCAGTAGGCTAGGACTCTCTCTCTCTCTCTCTCTCTCTCTCTCTCTCTCACTCTCACTCTCTGGAGTTGACATGAATGTATTATAATTACATAAATTTGGTAGCTAGTTGATGATGTTACAGTTATGGGGTTTGTTTCTCTTACATATGAGACTGCGTTACATTTGCTAACACCGTTGATCAAGTTGACTAAACTTTCATCTATAACGTTAAAAAGATCAAGTTGGCTAAATTTAATCCATAACGCTCATTGCGTCTCACTATTGAAAATGCATAAATGTTGTCATGAATCAACTGTAGATATTATTATATTCTGATCCACTGACACTGTTTAAGCATTATGGCTTGCGTCTCACTTTGTTTCCTCTCCAGACCTCTTCAGCTATGGCTCCTCTTCTGCCTCTGTCTCTTGCCTTTTACTGATTTCATTTTGGGCATCATGATTTAGAATTGACTTGTTATAGGGCCAAATGCTTATGGGCCTACTTGGATCATGATCCCAATTAATCTGTTATCAATGAATTTTTATTTATTTCCAGTGTTTTATTTTCAAACTACGTGGACATCATGTATTTTATACTACTCCTTCTATGCTTTTATGTCTGTTTACAATGACATATGTACGATAATAACGTCCAGACATACTATATATATATTTTTTGGTTTGAACCATGAGGTGGTCCTGAATGGGCCCCAACTATGGGTGGCACCTTTAAGCCTTAACCACAACCCAGACTAATCCCCACTCACATCGGGTCGGCCCGTAAGGGTTAAAGTGTTGGCCAAAGTGGTGACTCCGTACGAGAGCAAGGATCGAACCTCTGACCTCTCTTAAGGAATGAGAGTGCCGAACCACTCACACCAACCACCTTGGTTACATACTATATATATTTCAACGATTAAGAAATTAATTTTTTTCAGTAATTAAATACTGTGTATTGTATATTTGTTTATTTTGTCGGTTACTGTGTATAATTAACTTGTCATATGTGCATCACAATCTGCACTCTTTATTTTAAAACTTTCATCAATTTTTATATATTATAAAAACAATAAGAAATTAATTCGATATGAATTAGTCAAACAATTGTTAAGCTCATAATTTCATACATATACATGCCCAATTTACTTACTTCTTTTGCTTAGTTCCTATAATTCTAAGTTATTTCCCTCCCTTTGTGTGTTTTGTAGGCCAATAGAGCAAGAGAGCATAATTCATGCAATTCAAGCATGTTAAGGCCTAATTTGGATGAATGGA